GGGGAAGCTTGGTTGACCTTGAGGTGGACAACATGCCTTCTGTTTTGCGGTCATGTTTCCACAGCTGAGGAGCCGAGCTGCTCCTGGCTGTACTTTTTAAGATGTAAAAATAATTATCACAGCAAAACGAAACACTATCAGTTATCTTCACTGATTCGTCCAAACGTCATGCTGCCTTTACAATGTTTTTTTTTTACCTTTCTCTGGTTTTTCATTCTGGGATCACCTGATCTGCGTACTGCCATCAGGGTGTGTGCTGGATGCTTCACACGTTTACTCACCCACGAATACTGCAGCTTTGTGTAGGTTGCAAACAAAATAGCAATATTAAACATCCTGGTCAGAAAAATGGGGATGTTTGAGTCTAGAAAGCAGCATTAAAATAGCTTTACACATTTTCAGGAAGCTTCCTGATCAGCGGTGCTCAGCACACAGTTCTGGAACGAGGCTGGGAAAACAGAAAACACGTAAACAGTGTGAGACGCAGGATAAACCGAGGCCAGCAGCCAGTCGCTGTTTGGATAGACGTCGATCTCTTTGGCTGTAAATGTAAACGTTTCAGACCCAGAGATCTTTGATGAATGTTAATGATGAAAACGATGTATGAACTGATTTTAAGCTTTCAGATTTTAGAACAAACTACATGAGAGCTCAGAGACTGGAGTGTGCTGTGTAATCCAGAGCAGTTAAGTCACGTTTTAAGTTCCTGTTCGTGTTTCGGGTCATTTTCTGTGGTTCGCTGCGTCACATCAAACAACCCTGATTTCCTGAAATGGTTGCTTAGCAGCTGAATTTAAAATGTCAAAGAATCAATGTGAGATTTTTCTACGCTGTGATGAACCGCTTCGAGCTGGGTGCTGCGTTAGAACTGAGCTAAGCCAGTATTTAACGTCACTGTTAGTTTAGCAGTTTACATCACGTCCACTCGGTGTCCAAACGTCACTTTCTGTGTAAATATTTTTTAAACAGGTTAAAAAGACTCTTTGATACATTTTGACCTTGTATTTGTGAACTGCAGCAGGACTATGTCATGTTCTATATTCATTACAGTACACCAGCTACACGTTTTATACATCGATCATGTGACAAAGTTGTAAACTTAATTTTCTAATTATGCCACATTGTCAGTGAAGGCAGCGTGGGCTACAATGCAAATACTTCTCAGTCTTTATGAGCGATCGTGTCAATAAACAGTGAGGCTTCAGAAAGCTTGGTGTCCATTTGACTTTGTGATGCTGACACTGATTAAAGGCGCTGCGCAGCTACACTCGTCTCAGTGTTTTATAGGACAGACCACGATCTGATGATCAGGCATTACAAACTGAACACAAACACTGTGACTGCGACACTCACAGGGTGGAAAACGCGTTCGGGGGCAGTTTTTAGGCATTTTGTGTTTTCAGCTTTTACAAACATTATCATTAAATCATCATTAAACTTTATTCAGTTGGTTCAAAATCACATTCACAGCCTTGTTTCAAAAAAGGAGAATCTGTGGAAAATATAAATAATTCTTAACAGAAGTGAAAACAACAAATATACACAGAGGCTCGAATTCTAAAAGCTGAGAGCGCTTTATGCTGTGCACTTTAAGCATTATCTGTCACACTGGATACATGATGAGGGTACAGTATGTTGCTCGGGCTTGTACTGTCAGTGAACACGCTGTATCCACAAACACAAAGAAGAAACAGGCACCTCATTTGGTGTAAAACGGTCCAATGATAGATGCTGCATCCACTGAGACAAAGACAATATGCTGCACGGTTCAACTGCCAGCATGTGCAACGGGATCCAGGATCATTCATCCATGTGGTCACTCACTCAATGCTGGTTGTGGAGCATGGAGCTTTGTTTCATTACCACCTGCACTCACAATTCACTTCCTGCTTCAGCAGAGAGCTGGAGTGAACGGTTTGAAGCCCAAACTGATGCAAGGATGTGTTCACGTTCATGAAGCAGAGGACGTCGTGGTCACAGGGCAGACTCCCAGCAGTTGTTCTGGCTCTATGGGCAGTTTGTGTGCACGTTTCAGTATCCACTGCACTCCCACAGGACGCAGCTTTTCTGTCCGTGTGTGAAGAAGGTTTGAAAGAAACAAAAAAAGAAACTCCGACATGACATCTGAGGATCTCGTTGGCAAAACGTTTCCCATGGAAAAGAAACTAAAGGTCCCTCTGACTCGCCTACTCCCCCTGCTGGTCCAGAACCATGATGCTGACTTTCTTTTTCTTGCCTTTGTCTCCGGGCAGCTTAAAGTTCTGCTCTGTGACCTCGCCGTCATCGTCGCTGCAGTCCGACTCCTCAGAGTCCGACGTCTCGCTGTCACCTGACTCATCGAGCTCCACGAGTGCTACATCCTGAGGACACGGGGACAAAATTACACGACTGGTGAAAGACACACTTGAAGCAGCTAAACGGAGAAAAACTGATTAGATGAGCAGTAGATGGAGACTTATCCATCACTAGAAGTGATTTACAAAAGTGTTCAGAGCCTTAACTCAGGGCTGCGTGGAAGCGTCTGCAGCAGTAGTTACATGCTGGCTGCCTGGACTTTG